TACCTAGAGCTTTGTTAAAGGAGCCTAGTGTAATTGTATTTGGTTGCTTTGCTCTTTCTCCTCAACAAAATACTGCTTAACTAATTGCACACAAAATATTGCTAGACTATCTGTTAATTCTTCAGCTCGTTGATGGAGTATCGTGCTCTTTTCTGATTTTTCGTGTCAAACGAGCGAGGTGCATATTGGAAACCATCATTTGTGTACAGAAAATAATACTCCTGATGTTAGCGCTGGGTTGGAGGAAGGCAAAAATGACTGGCTTTGGTTTCTTCTCACTGGAAGGTAACAGTCACCTGAGAGGATTGCGCTAAAATAAGCGATCTTCTGCACACATTTTGCTAGCAGCGCAGAGATGTAAATGTACATCAAGCGCAACGCTGTTGATTCTTCCTCGTTTCCAGCTTTTTGTTAAAGCAGAGATCTTCTGCTAGCAAAATGTGTGCAGCGCAGAGATGTAAATGTACATCAAGCGCAACGGCTGTTGATTCTCCTCGTTTCCAGCTTTTTGTTAAAGCAGAGAAGCTTGTTCTCCCCCAGAGCTAAGAATAACAAGTATTTTAATCATCTGAGGAGACTGAACAGAATAAGGAAATATTCATTGTTTCTAACGAGCGACCTGGCTGTAGTTTCAGGTGCAGATAACCCATGTCTTGAATTAAATTCTTGTTTTCCTCCCCAAACTCTGCCATGAACTTGCCTGTTTCTCAGGTGGCTCTCAGTAAGGTGCATCTTGTGCACCTGACACAGTGCAGCGGTAAGAATGTGCACGCTCTCGCGTGCCTGTCCTCCGCTGCTCTCTGCAGTGACACAGCCAGGGTGAAACAGTGGAACTAAGTGGAAAAGAGGTGAAAATGAAGAGTTAAAAGTGGCTTTTTCCACCATTTGGGAATAAATGTATGTAAAAATTAAAAGTAAATTATTCCTGAACATCAGAAATGGAATCCCCCACGCCTTGCTCCTTGGAAATCAAAAATTTTAGGGAGAAAACCCCACACTAGGAAAAAAAAGGTTTCATGTGAGTTCTGTAATAAATTTCTTATGGTTTTGTGTGTCTCAGAAAAGTTTTCAGAACTTTATAAAGCACAGTCTCTTCATGGGAATTGCTGTTATTCCTGCATTTGTTGCGGTGATGGGTTTTATAGGTCACTTGAAAAGTAATTATTAAAGTAAGGTTAGTAGCTCCTCTGAGCCTATGACATCCAAAATTAACTGGTGTGACATAAATGTTCCTGCTTATCTGATTTGACACTTGATTCGTGATTTGAGGCTTTTGCTTTAAGCCATGATGTATGTCAGGTGAAACAATACTGATTCAGTTGGCAATCTGGAAAGATGACATTAAGCTCCTTTGTACTCAGACACGATTTCCCTCAAATCATAATTCTTGAATGAGGCTCCTGTGTGGACTGAGAAGTACTTCTGGTTTCCTATTCACGTCTCCCTTCGAAGCACTTTTGTTTGTTTGGATGGCTGGTGGTCCGTTTTTAACTTTGGAAATGCTCATTAAGTATTTCCTCTCAAAATTGTTCTTTTTCAGTGCAGTGGCCTCGCTGCTGTACAGCTGAACTAGCAGTGCTCTGATCTAATGCTATTTTCACTATTTAATTGGGGGTTTTTAGGAATTCTGAAAAGCAGAATTTAAAGAAAAGCAAAGATGGCGCGTACGTAGCATGTACTTTATGGGAAAGCGTGTTTATGTTTGTCTTATCTGCTGCTCTTTCTTTATCAACAAAAATTCTTTACAAATTTATCGCTTGGCTTAACCACGGAGCGGATGGGATCTTTGGATCTTGGCTCTGAAATTGTCTCAGGCACGAATCCAGATTGCTGCACAGTCATCGGTTCTACCAGCTACCAACATCAGGTCTGTCAGGCTTGATCTTTTTGGGGGATTGTGTTCGGAAAAGATGCGTTCTAGCGACTGCAGTTGTAACAGCTCTAATTATAGGTATGGCCATGAAGAATCCGGGCAGGATTCTTGGTCTGAAACAACTAAGCGTTAGGATTTGTCAGCCGGCCGCGCTCCCGCGTAACCTGTCCTGTTCGTTACGTCACCTGCCGGGCTTCTGGCCTGAGCAGCACACGGGTGGGTGATCCCTCCTGCCCCGTCAATGCCGCTTATGGCCACAGTGACTAACGTGGGTGCACGTTAGGCTAATGAACTTCCAGCTAGATTTTTGTGGGTCATGCAAAACAACAGTCTGCTGCTGGGAAGCTGTGTTATGGAGATTTCACACTTTCCTGAACCACTTGCTCGTGCGGTGCCAGAATGAAAAGGTTTTGACTCCGCGCTAAGGCGACGTTCAGGGGCTGTTTAACAGAAATAGAGAAGGCTGAAGGCTTAGTATCTACCAGGTGCTAAGATAACTTGCTGTTAAAAGGCTTATCTGTTCGTCTCTCCATTTATTTTTACCTTTTGGGGTTTTTCTTATCAGCACAGTTTCTAGGGTTGGTTTTTTCTTGTTCTCCTTGGTGCTTAAAAACTTCATTAAGGATTTTAACACTTGATTAATGTGTAGCTTTAGGTTGTACAGGAATCATACAGACGCGTATCTTCGTTTGGAATAACTTAGCATCCTTTTCACTGGCTGCATAATGACAGTTGCTCTCGGTCGGGGCCAGTATCCAGTACTGGAGGGGTGTTCGTTCATCTTTGTGGCTGCAGCAGTAACATCACCAACTTCCTAGAAATCTACCTTAACAATTGATTAATGCATAGCTTTAGGTTGTACAGGAATCATACAGACGCGTATCTTCGTTTGGAATAACTTAGCATCCTTTTCACTGGCTGCATAATGACAGTTGCTCTCGGTCGGGGCCAGTATCCAGTACTGGAGGGGTGTTCGTTCATCTTTGTGGCTGCAGCAGTAACATCACCAACTTCCTAGAAATCTACCTTAACAACCACTTGCAATATGTATGGGATCAGGCGCTGCCTGATCAGGACACTGCCTTGCAATATGTATGGGATCAGGCGCATCATAAGCAGATTTCTGTTTCCCGATGGGCTGTCTCTGCTATACACATTTATTACGTGTCCCGGTGTGGATTTTGGCAGGTGTGTACCAGGCACCTAGCAGGCTGTTAGGCTTTACCCGAGGTGTCTGTTCCTCCTGGGGCGTTCTGTGCTAACGGGATAGCGATGAGCACATCTTACAGTGACCTTCCTAACGCTGTAAAACCCCGTAGTACTGTTTTCACGGATTTGCAAAGCAAAATCTGTGTTAACATATATATTAAGAAGAACTTTTTCCCCCCAAAAATTGGATTCAGGATACTGAAAGCATGTTCTTACTGGTGGTTTACCTTCACAGCCATCTGGGCTGTGCTCTCATCTAGTCTTAATACCCACTGTGCTGCAGATAATGCGCACTGATGCAAAATATGATTCCTAGAGGAATAACTGTGGCTGTATCGGCGGTTAGAAGTCAGATGATTTGAGTGGGTATTTGCTAAGCAATCTCACTTTGTGGGTACTTATTTGACTTAACTCATTTCGACTGGGTAATTTTCAAACAAATGCCTGTTGAAAGGAAGCTGACCACAACTACTTCTAGCAGTTAGGTGTCATGGAAAGGAAATGCACAGCTGCCGATAGGTTAGGAGCTGTGAGAGTAAAAACTTGGACGGAGCTGAATTAGTTAATTCTGTGAACTTCAGCTTGGAGGTAGGAGAGGCAAAACCCATGTAATTGTATTTCAAACCAGGTGAGGCCTCTTATTTTGGTTTCAGCAACCCTACAGTAAGACAGGTAAAGCACCAAAATAAAGATCTCCAAGATAGTCCTGAAGCCTTCTAAGAAATTTTGTACCTATAAATAAAAAAATATAGTTTTGATTAACATTATGCCTGTGTAGAATCACAGAATGGTTAGGGTTGGATGAGACCTTAAAGACCATCCAGTTCCAACCCCCTGCCATGGGCAGGGACACCTTCCACTAGACCAGGTTGCTCCAAGCCTCATCCAGCCTGGCCTTGGACACTTCCAGGGATGGGGCATCCACAGCTTCTCTGGGCAACCTGTCCCAGTGCCTCCCCACCCTCTCCAGGAAGAACTTCTTCCTGATATCCAATCTAAACCTCCCCACTTTCAATTTAAACCCGTTACCCCTTGTCCTGTCACTACAGGCCCTTGTAAAAAGTCCCCCCCAGCTTCCTTGTAGCCCCTTCAGGCACTGGAAGGTGCTATAAGGTCTCCCCGGAGCTGTCTCTATGGTAAGAACTAAAAAAGAAGGTTGCTATAATTGAAAGTATGAGAATTCATCATTGCATTAGATGACATTAATAGACCTTTTCAGTCTAAAAATCTGTACTGTCTGAATGAAGAGGGTGGAGCAGGTGGTGTGGGACTCTCACAAGGAAGTTCAGAGCAGACACTTCAGCCCAAAATGCTGTGGGGGGAACTGCTGCGGTGTACCTCATGGGTTGTTGTGTCGTTAGCAGCGTGGGTTAAGCACTGTGCCCCGTTCTGCGCAGCGTGGGTTCGTATTCCCCTTATCGTTGCTGCAAAAACTGGGTTGGAAAGCTTTATGTCGGTCAAGCTGCTGAATGGTTTTGAAGTGGCCCACGTTCCTTGCGTATGCTTTAGAAAACAATAGCTGGGCAATTACTTGGGTTATTGTGACATAGTCGTGGCAAGCATAAATTGCCTCTTTGTATGCTTTGGTTTCTGCCAGCTTTTTCAATGAAAGGTTGGAGAATACCTTGACCCTGCAAACTAGCACAGGTTGCCGCTTCCGTATTTTTTAAATCCAAGTTCCTTGATATGGATAGGTTTAACTCCTTATTTTTAACGGTGGTTAAATTACATTCTACCTTGTCAAGTTCCTAACTTAAGGGATTATCACTCAGCCAGGCATCTTTCTAAATTCAGAACATATCTTAAATGTATTCATGGATGGTGATTTAGCTCAAGTCTCCTGAAACGTCAATTTATAAGGGCCGTACTAATGTTGTCATTAATGTAAAATTAACTTAAAATTCTCCTTTGATTCCAGGGGAAAATTTGCGGTGGTGAAGAAGTGTATCCAGAAAGACACTGACAGAGAGTTTGCAGCAAAATTCATGAGAAAAAGAAGAAAGGGCCAAGACTGCCGGATGGAAATAATCCATGAAATTGCAGTCCTTGAGCTGGCACAATGCAACCTCTGGGTCATTAACTTGCATGAAGTTTATGAAACTGCAACAGAGATGATTTTAGTCCTGGAATAGTAAGTACCAGTAATAATTCCTGAATAACCTTCTGTAATATTTGCTTAAAACGAATCACCTAAATATACTGTGTGTCAGTATGAATAATGTGAAAAGAGTTTACTGCTTGCCTGTTACACTTGCTTGACTTCCAAAAGAATGGCGAAGGAAATCAGTGTCCCATGAAGTTATGTGCAGTCTTGTACCTACTGCAGGTTATTACAAAACTGCCCATTTCTGTCGTCTCTTTCAAAGCTGAACTATATCACTTAGGCCCTTCAAAAACCCTTTAGTGAACCCTGAGCTGTACACACTCCCTGCTTGTAAAAGAGGAAGAGGAAAGAGGCAATGACTGTTCAAATCCTGAAGTTATTCAGTCACAGTGACAAAGATGGGGTGACATCTGTTGGGTGGGGGTTTTTACCACTTACAAAAAAGGTATTGAAAGCTATGTAAGCGTTAAAAATAAACTATTGACACCCCCTATGATCTACAATTTAAAGCTCTCTAAATCGTTTTGAGGTAGGAGGATTCAGGCCTAGAATAGTTTCTTTGAAACGGCATGTAACTCCACCTTTGCCTGTGTTTTCCCTCTCCTGGAGTTTGTCCAGCTGGGCATTTCTGCAGCTGTTGTGACTGTTCATCTACCGTGCCAGCAGCTCACATCTTTGACGTGTACATGCCGAGAGGCAGCCAAACGCTTGTTGCTAGTGAAGTCTGTTAAGATCCTGTTTGAGCTCCATGGATTTTAAATAATTAGGAGAGGAACAGTGAGGCTTGATAGTTCTGAAGTGACTTAACCTGTCTGCCCAGATAAATGTAGCTTGTGCAGCTCTTTTCTTGTTTGATAACAAAAAGAAATGGTGAGGAATCTTGGGTCCCAATCTGATCTCGGATCTTTAAAGTTCAGTGAGGTGGAATGAGACCATGTCTGCTAAGGCAAGCTTCCTTCTGGAATACTTCCTTTTTTTCCAACTTCATTGTGCCCTTCTGGAATTCATGATTTATGAAATATTCAAGTATCTGTTAGAATGAAAAAGTGTGACAGAGCTGCTGGAATTTTAACTGCTGTTACTGGAGACTCATCAAGGTGTGCTTCAAACACTAGTAGTGCAGATCTAACCAGGATACAGTTTAAATCCCTAGATCCCATAGGGATATGGCGTGAGCGGTAGACTCCAACGCTTGACACGAGCAACGGGTTTTGTGATAATTTTATTCGAGATCCCATAGGAATACAGCTGAGCGGTAGACTCCAAAGCTTGACATGAGCAACGGGTTTTGTGATAATTTTAATGCAAAAGTGCTGGTTTCCTTTTAGAACTCGTCTTACAGTTGCAAAATGTTTTTAATCCAAAGTATTAACTAGGTGGTTC